TTCTGCAAATACTAAACTTTTGCACTTGTAACTGAAGAAATGTTATAATTTGAATTAAGTTCTGTGATTATACTATGCTAGTAGCTGAGAAAACTTTGCCCTTGAAATCACAAATTCTCCTGATGAAAGAGACAGTGATTCATTTGAGATTAGATTGTTGTTAGTCTTTAAAGTAGCACATGACTGTTGTTTTTGCAGCAAAACACTAACATGGCTACTCTTGTGGAAATTGTTTTAATGTTTTTATCTACTTTCTCAAACTGAGTTTTCTGCAAATACTAAACTTTTGCACTTGTAACTGAAGAAATGTTATAATTTGAATTAAGTTCTGTGATTATACTATGCTAGTAGCTGAGAAAACTTTGCCCTTGAAATCACAAATTCTCCTGATGAAAGAGACAGTGATTCGTTTGAGATTAGATTGTTGTTAGTCTTTAAAGTAGCACATGACTGTTGTTTTTGCAGCAAAACACTAACATGGCTACTCTTGTGGAAATTGTTTTAATGGTATATACAGAAGAGAGGGAGGAGGATGACATCATCATCTGATAAAACAATTGTCAAACTCTTAGTTTTGTACTCATTTCCAGATTGATGTAAAAGACCTTAAACATGAGGGACATATGCATCACTTGTAGCTGCATTAATATCTTTACAGATGTAAATGGCAAGCCAAGACCTGGCTTATGAATGTGAGAAAAATGTAATTTAGTCCTTCTCTTAATGATGTTCCAGTAAAAGTACCCTTTCTGGGCTGATTGCATGAAGAGGTAGATTCTTATTGCTTTTGCTCATGTCCTGCTATGTCTATATTTATATCTATATCACATGTATAAAATACATATTATATATTACATATTTAATTTTTACAGGGTGAAAGAGGTTTGCCAGGTTTACAAGGTTTGGTCGGATTTCCTGGAGTACAAGGGCCAGAAGGGCCCCCAGGATCTTCTGGAATGAAGGTAAAATGAACTTTATGCCAAACATTAACTTGTAGAATGGTACTTGAAATGCTGATAACAATAAATGTTTTGTATCTTTCTATAGGGCGATACTGGAGAACCAGGATTACCAGGAACAAAAGGAACTAGAGTAAGTTTGCGTGAACCAACCTAATTAGTTTGAGGCTGCCATACATATCATGCCAGCTGTGGTTTTTTTTCACTGTGGTTTGGTTAATAAGCCACAGTAGCCTGGTTTACATAACACTCTAATCCATCAGTTATGGATTACAAATCACAATAACTGGGCTCACGTAACACACTAAGTCATAATCTAATACACTGTATTCTGCATTCTTCTTAGCATGATGGGTACACTAGTTTTTAAAAAGTAGCATTACACATGTTAGTCATTATTAATTTGTTGTATTTAATTACATGGCAATGTCCACGATACTTTGCAGAGCACAAATAAACCCAAGCCCCCAAAAGCTTATAATTAATTTTCTACATCTCACTGGAGAACTGCTTGATCCACTTAGAGTAATCAGTTTTAAGGCTCAATGATCTGGAAAGACAGTGAAGTACCTATTCCCACTTAAATTTTACTGGGCAAAGGTGTCATTTGATCTGTTGTTTGCTAGTAAGAACAAGAAAGTATTTAACAGTTCATTAATGATCCAGCTCAAACATTTAAAGAAGAATGAAATTTATACTCTCATAAAAGATCTAAGGATGCTTCAGTGGCTTAAATGTCGTTTGCAACAACAGGCTTGGATCTGAACTTGCTGTTCTTAAAGATTGTCAGTCAGTAACTGCTTCTCTGAGTTCTTGGAAGCTCATGCCTGCATCATCAGTGATAGCATCTAGCCGCCTTGTTTATCAGCCATTGTTTCAGTGGCCTTCAATTTTCCAAGCATCAGGGTTTTCTCAAATGATTACAGGTAGTCCTTGCTTAACAATGGTAATTGGGACCAGAATTTCTGTCATTAAGCAATGCAGTTGTAAAGTGCAATGTCACATGACTGTATCACTTAGCAACAGCAGTTCCAGCAGTCTCCAGTTACTGTTGTTAAGCAAATAATACAAATCTCCCTCCATCCCTATTTACTACCTGATCAGTTAGGGCAGGTCCTTTCTAAGTTTCTTTCTCTGTCCATTACTTAGTTGGGGGTTCCTCCCCCTTTTATCAGATCATTCCCTAGGAAGCATCTCTTCCCCTCGTCTTCCAAGGTCATTCTCACATTCCATTACATCACATGACTGCAACTTCTGACTTCCTGCCAGCTTCCCCATTGACTATGCTAATGGGAAACCAGCAGGGAAGGTTGAAAATCATGATCATGTGGCAGCGGGATGCTGCGATAGTCAGAAATCTAGGCTGGTTGCCAAGTGCCCAGATTGCAATCACATGATGGCAGGGTGCTGTGACAGCTGGAACTTCGAGGACCGGTCATAAGTACCACTCATTCAGTGCTATCATATGTTTGAACTGTTGCTGACTTCTGGGTGAGGAAAATGGCAAATTAGACATCTCTGAAAGAGTGGAGACAACAATGTGGTGACGATGTGGTGATGACCCACAGACCAGCAGCAAGCTTGGTCCAGCAGAACCTCTCCGGATGAGGAGAGGATGAGAAATCACCCACTTGTGCTCCAGACAGTTGCTTCTCATGAGAAGACCACAGGACAGTGGTTCTCTTGTGGATCTAAGTACTGGGAGACGAGGGAAGCCATCAAGTTCTCAATCATAGCAGAGTCTTTAAGAACATTAGATTTGTCTCACTTCACTTTCTAATCACTTTTGGATCTACAATTATTTTAAAATTAAAAGAGATCTTCCAAATAACAAGTCTGACCAGATGAATTTGGAATGTTAGGACTTTTGCTAACATCTTTGAAAAAGTGAGTAAATAAAACAAAATAACATTTTCGTGGGAATGTGAATTGTTTAGTCTATCAGGAAAGAGATTATTGGTGGAAAGTTGAAAACAAAATAACTTGAGATTTTATGAATACAGAAATAGGACACTAGAGAGTCTTAAAGATCCAAACAGGAAAAAGAACAGTGAAATTTGCAAAATGACAAAGGTATCATGCACAAGATATTTCAAAGGATATTTGAAGAACTGGGAGAGAAACTTATAACTAAACTGACAGCAATAATTTCTATACCTGCCAACTTATTTCTTGAAGAAGACTTTAAAGAAGAAATCAAAGATATCAAAGATGTCAAAGATGTGGAAGAGAAAATCCCAAACGATGTAGAAATATTGGAAAATAAAGAAACTGTGGATTATAAGACAGAGATAATTGTTAGAGTGGAAACACAAATGATAAATCAAGAGATGAAAAATGAGCTGGACAAGGACTTATTACTGGATTTACAAAAGAAGGTTCCTAGAGTTCTGAAGAAATCTTTGAAATGAGAGAAAGAAAGTTTGAATGGAGATTCAACCTTATGACAGCAATTTGATGAATAAAAGATTAAGACTGTTAGAGGCAAAAGGAAGGAATATAAAGCCAATTTATTTGATCTGGGATAAAATAAGAACTATGTTTATAAAATTCTGGAAATCCTTTATGGAATTCTTCCCAATACTTGGACAGAAGTAACGATTTTTGGATTTGTGATTGGATAAAAGGGGGCAGTTGCAAGAAGAAGTAAATTATTATCTAACTGCATAAGGGTGGAGAAATATTAATTTGCTTGTACTTGTTGCAAGGAAGATCAGGAGTTGCTTCTTTAAATATTCTTTTCTCTATCCTTTCTCTTTTTTCTGTTCTTTTCTTTTTATTCTTTTTTTTCTTTGCACAGTGTATTTCTTTTCTTTTTCTTTATTTCTGACTTTAATTTGTATTATTTTAGTATTGTAAAATTTTTCAATAAAAAGTATTTTTTTTAAAAAAAAAGCTTGAATGGTCGCTGAACGAGTGGTCATTAATCAAGGACCACCTGTACTGCTTTCACATTATATATCCACAGTATCTAAGGTTTTGATTCATTATTTGTGCTTCCAAGGAGCAATCTGGTTTTTACTTCATCTAATATCAAAGGATCCTAAATTATCCTCCTGAAAATGAACTGCTCCTTCTATTCATGATCCCCATAATTTCTTAATCTCTCATCCATAATCCCCATAATCTCATAATCTCTCATCCCTTTGGAGCATGTTTCTTTTGGCAGGATGGAGCTATGAACTGAGTTCTATCTGAGTATTTAGAATTAAATCTGTTGGGACTAACTGGGGATTCCCAGCACACTGAACAGTGCCAGGATGGAAAGACTGATGAAAGGCTTAGCATTCTTTTTTATATATATTCTCTCATAGATACGATATATTCACAATTTTCTAAGCAATTTTCATTCCAACAAGATTACTGAGAAGAATACAAGGATGGCTTCCTGAGCAGATTAAAAATTAGGACTATTTAGAATAATGGTGTTTTGGGGAGGTGTCAGTGGGGTTCAGAATGACAAATGCAGCATCATGGCATCACAGCACAAGTCCTGTATATGTGTTGTTATGTTGCATGCTCATATGAAAGGGGCGGAGCTTGTGGTACAATACTGCTTTCATCATTTTGATGAAAGCAACAAAATGGTTGAGAATATGACTTTTGTTATATGTGTTTCTGGTGATTTAAAATGTCGCTCATGAATGTTGAGGAGAAACAATTTCTTGATGGTACTATTGATATTCTTTTTATCATTTCCTCAAACCTAGGGCCCACCAGGTCCAGCAGGCTATCCTGGGAATCCTGGCCTTCCGGTGGGTATGAAACCAAGGTTGCGGTTGAAACACGGTCAAGGTTTCAGCAGTAACTGACCTGGTTGTTTTTTACTTTCCTGTATCCTTTCTGAACCTCAGGGCATCCCTGGAGGAGACGGCCCGCCTGGTCCTCCTGGGATCCCAGGATGCAATGGAACAAAGGTAAATTATTTTAAACAAGTATTTTAAGGCTCTTTTTTTAAAAAATCCATGAATTAAAGACATTTTTTCTCTTCCATTAGGGAGAAAGAGGTCCTCTTGGCCCACCTGGCTTACCAGGCTTACCTGGCAATGTCGTAAGCATTTTAAATTCATTGTTTTAATGGAAATCAAGACAAATATGATGAAAAAATAATTAAGCAAGTATGGAAACTGATGACTCAGTTTTCAATTCATAATTTAAGTATGAAAACTTGATAATTAAAATGTCTCACTAATTTCTTAATTTCTGAAACAATGTCATATTTTCCAGGGGCCTTCAGGACCTCCAGGAATAAAGGTATGTTTCTAGTTAAGAGCAAGCCTATCATTTATCATTTACATAACATGACATGTAGGTTTGCTAGACCAACAGAATTCCAAAAATCATAAGTAGTTGCATTGGTCATGAGAAAAAAAAATCCAACATCCACAGAAGGTTAAGCATTTGGGCTAATTAAAAATGTCACAGAATAATGAGCAACTTGATTTATTAAAGGAAACCAAGGGTTCCATCTCACTGTAAAAGCAGAAAGGAAAAACAAGTTTCCTGCTGGGTCATAATGTTGTCTGGGCAATTGGTCCTCCTCTCCCTTACAAAATGTTAACAGTCCTTATGTTGAACCCATTCTAAATTTGGAGCTAGCACTCTTTCCTCTCTGAGAACAAAGAGTCAATTGCCTTATTGGGTTTTTTAAAAAAAACATACTTCATTTCTCTTTTCAGCGAAAAGCAGCTGTAGAGAACATATTTCTGATCGGAAATAGAGCTTGATGCAAGTTTCCTGCTAAAAAAAATTCCCCTTCCCCAAGGTTTTTTTTCCCCTTTTGTCCCCGTAGGCCATTTCCCAAAAAAGAAGCTATGAGGCAAATACAATGACAGAATATTTTACAGGAAATAAGAGTAGAGCTTCATCTAGACTCAGAACAGATTCCAGCCTGGAGCTCTATAAGAGTAATTTTTCTTCAAAGAAAAATGGTCACCTTAAGTTCTTTCATTATGACAGACTGCTCCCAACCATACTGTAAGATTCTTTCTAAAACAAGTCTTAGAACTTTTCCAACCTTTTCACAGGAAGGAGAGAAAAAGTTACTTAGCATAGTGTTGAAAACAGGGTCCCACAGTAGGCACCTGTTAATTTTTGCTTAGATCCTATTCAAACATACATCAGACAGGAAGGTCAAGGAACTCACCTGTAGTTGTTATGTAGATATTGCTGAAACATTACAAAACAAGTTTGTTTGTTTATTTTATAAATCAAATTTATATCACTGCCCAACTCCCCCACAAGGAGGGACTCTGGGCGATTCACAACCAAACAGTTTAAAACCAGTAAAAACATAAA